TCAAAAACAAATGACCCCATGAAAATTCACTATCCAGTCGGGCCAGTGACTGTGGAGATTTACTGGCCTCACTACATTTTTACTACCCACGGGCTAGCGGGCCAGTGGCTATTTCGCACTGCTTGGAAGCCACTGTATGTTTACTGAAACCTTCATAACAAATTGACATAGTTATTCATGCTATGTTTCTCGTGCGTGGAATACAGCGTGACAGTCTGATACATTTTACCAGTGTTGATTAATATGGTTCACCACTTCATGGTATACAGCACTGTACTGCACATATCTTAAGCAACACACTACATCTTAGTCGACCGACATAGTTAAAAGTGGACTTTTTGAAGGCCACGTGAGGTCAGTTGTAAGTAGGTAGATAAAGATTAAAGGAAGCTGCTTGTCAGTCGCTCAACAGGCTGTGGTAACTAAGCATGATGATAAGTTCTCAGCAGATGGTAAAGGAGTACGGCAGATACAAAGATATAACTTTAAAGACTGTTTACTACGTTATCGTGCAGAGAGAGAGAGAGAGAGAGAGAGAGAGAGAGAGAGAGAGAGAGAGAGAGAGAGAGAGAGAGAGAGAGAGAGAGAGAGAGAGAGAGAGAGAGAGAGAGAGAGAGAGAGAGAGAGAGAGAGAGACAGATAGAGAGAGAGAGACAGACAGACAGACAGACAGACAGAGAGAGAGAGAGAGTATGTGTATGTGAGTGAGTGAAACTAATATGATTGGTGTTGGGGCGGTTACGTCATAAAGGTTGAAGCATGCATCATGGCGGGAGACCCCTTAAAGTTAACGGTAACAGCTTTCGACCGAATAGCGTAGTTGGGGTTGTGTCATTTGGAAACCGTATGTCGTAGACTGGTAAACTGCTTCAGTGGAAGAACGTTATACAGAGGTTACGCCCCATGGAGACTAACCAAGTGCTATCGGTATCAACGATATTGACCTGTGAATCTGTTTCTGGGGTCAGTGGCAGTTAGTTTCGAGTGTACTGATGTTACCTTTCTATGAAATCATCAACATAAACTGAGGGGCTAGACAAACTGTACAGAGTTTGTTTCTCAATGTAATGGAAATTACCTACCGTAACTCATACAACATTTGTAATGGGTAATCTATGTTTGAAACGTACAGTAGACATTAGCAAATTTATTGATTGCCTAAGATACATGTTATGAGTTGTGTCCTTTTCAGTTTTGAAAAGTTTTAGTTAATATAAAGAGTGTTCTGTAATGGCGACTCGGCGCACAGTAGTTGTTTTGTTCCAATATCGCAAACGTGAGATGTTTTCAATTGATATTCAGACATATTGTAATATCAACTTTTAAGTTCTGAAGAAGTTTTTTGTTACTGATAGTTGACTGGGAAATTAAACTACATTACCTACCGTAACTCATACCACGCAGATGTTGAGTGCTTTCTTCTGAAAACAGTAGTTTCTTTTCATCAAAACACAGTTAAAGTTAATTACCTACCGTAACTCATACAACATTTGTAATGGAAAGAGAGAGAGAGTCACAGTCACAGTGGTTTCAATTTCCAATCAACTTTATAATGTGGAATTTTGAAAATCCGAATATCGGACGCATTTGCGAAGAGCATTGTGTTCCACATGCCCTTTGACCATAGTTAATATAAGCCAAATGTTGACGTTCACAGAAGGCTAGAGAAATACAAGTGAGTGTTTATGTGAGTGCAGTGCACTATACAATTATCAATCTGGCATTAGTTCCGGGTGGCGACAGGCAACTGCATAGCTTTCTACAACATTCTGAGTGGTTACACGTGTCGTCCTTCTCCCAGACCGTAACAAGACGGAGTAACTACTGTCATATGTGTGTGTAGACCTTCCTATCCGTTCAACACTGTAGGTAGTGACATGCTGCTGGCACGGTACGGTGGTGTGCTTTCCGTGGTGTTACACAACATGATAAATGTCGACGGACCGGTTGACAAATGTTCTATTATCTAATATTGGATTTCAATACAAAAGATGATGTATCCCCCAACCATAGGGCTATAATTGATACTATAATTGATGCTTCGGCTGATGTTTTACTGCAAGACATCTTCAAGCTGTAAAATATATGATGACAGAACAGGTGTTGTTAAATTACACTGTACAAATACAAATGAGTGAGTGAGTGAGTATGTGAGTATGGTTTTACGCCGCTTTTAGCAATATTCCAGCAATATCACCGCGGGGGACACCAGAAATGGGCTTCACACATTGTACCCATGTGGGGAATCGAACCCGGGTCTTCGGCGTGATGAGCGAACGCTTTAACCACTGAGCTACCCCACCACCCCCAAATACAAATGAGGTACGCGTGACCTCAGGGAAGATAGGAAGAGGAAACTTTATGCAACATCGAACAAGTAAGAGGGTTGATAAATGATAACTGCAACTTATAGTGATGAGGCATGTCTCTAGAGCTTCACTTCATTTGAATTAAAACGTACGCATAGGACACGTATTAACACCGCGTAGGAAAGCAGGGGAGTGTATCTCTCTGCCTTTCTCTCTCTCCCTCTCTGTGAGGTGTGGGGCGGAGTTGGACATGTTCGTCACTTTCTTCCCTGTCTGTCCAGGTGTGTGTCCATCAGCATCCACACAAATACAGATTATGAAATGCAGTATTTTTCGTGACCCATATCGAGGAGTAATTTATGACACGGTGACAGTTATCTGACCATCTCTTTACAAGCAGTCATAATACCACGAGGTCATATATCACCCTCTGTCTGGGTAGATAAGAAAAGTAGTTTCAGTCTCATATCATTTGTTTTCATAAGGTATATCTTACGTTCCACTTATAACGTGCACGAGTGAAACAATCGATAATGCTTTGTTGAGAATAACAAGAGCAGTCGTAAGAATCGGAACAATGAAGACAAACAATGCAATATAGTATTCAAATACACCTTGTACGAAAACAAAAACAATTCCGCGTCAGCGTTTGTTTTAGATTATGTGTACACTACTTGCACATGACTCCTAAAATAAATATGTCCGTAACATCACCTGATCTATATGTGGAACTGAAAGGGTGAGTTAATTTGGGTCAGAATCCTTCGCAATACGCCTGCAATATCACTACGGTGGACAACACACTCAGACTCAGCCTCTTTATTTTCGTAGATGATGGCCGTTGAGGACTATAGTACAATGACGTGCTTAGTATGGGAAAATCATAATGACATGATGAACAACGTAGCTGCCATTAGTCTGTCATACAGACCCTGAAACAAACATATCCAAGAAAGCCCATGCATGTCTAGATTATATGGCAAGTCTAGATTCCCACAGTTTCAGGCCGAAAGTGAAGAAAGTCTCACGGTTCCTTTTCATTATATTTTATTTTTTATATTATGATGTGTTTTTTCTGTAAAATATGTTAATTTCAGAGAGTAATTTTGTTAGTCTAAGTCGCCATCACATTGCGGGGAGTCAGAACCTGACCTTCGTCGTGACAAGGAAAACACTCTAACCACTACCGTCCTAGAGATAGACTGTACATAAACACTGCTGGCCCTCCTCTAGCTCACGTGTGTGAGTGCCATATGTATAGACCAAGTAATTCAAACCTTCAAATTGCACTCAGTCATAGCTATCGTTAATGAGAAAGTTGGCAGTTCCGGCTTATAAACTTTGATATTTTATTGCTCTTGACTGGGAACAATCCACGTTTCCGCTGATATGTAAGCGCGAGTGCTGGTAGTAAATAGGCGCACATGCGTGCTGTGAGTCGGTCCTGATCACTGATCCAGTTAGTGCGTGTTAAGAGAGAGTCGTACCTCAGCTCACAATTGGCCTAGTTTGATACCTGTATATACCAGCTACGTTATGAAAGTAGCATAAAATGTGCTATTGTATGCTAATGCGCCAATCTCTTGCGAAAACCAGGTACCATCACCATTTCACTGTGATACTGAAACCGTACACTGAACATGTTCTACGTGACAATAAGTGTACAATACGAACAGCTCATGGTGAGGGATCAGGTCACGAGTTTAACCTTAAACATACAGAATACACAATATGCCTCAGAATGAGTACCACATCGTCTTTCTTGTACCGTGAGGCATTGTGCAGTTGGTGGTATGGTTGTCAACGAAACTGGTGCAGTAGGGTAGACAAACTTTATAGGGTGTCTAATTAGATCCCTGTAATGTATGCTATGCAATCAGCGATACTCTAAAGTTATTAAGCTATCGTCCTACATCATAATTACAGAAAAGTCACCCTAGGACGCGCTGGTTGTAACAGAAGAGACACGTAATTAGGGTATTATATTATTTGCAGGCACAAATGCCCTGATGGGCCTATGATAAGCCGGCACCTGAAAAGCAGTAGATAGATAGATAGATAGATAGATAGATAGATAGATAGATAGATAGATAGATAGATAGATAGATAGATAGATAGATAGATAGATAGATAGATAGATAGATAGATAGATAGATAGATAGATATGGTTCTTTCATTTCGAAACCGTATGGTGTTGATTGGTAAATTGCTCCAGTAGAAGAACGTAATATAAGAGAACGCGCGCGTGCGTGCGTGCGTGCGTGCGTGCGTGTGTGTGTGTGTACTACTACTTTAGTGACTGACCAGTTTTAGCCAGTCTGATTTCAAGTTATTTCATATATACTTATCATTAATGAATATGTGGCCGATGGTATGAAGACACGGCGGAGATACGACGATGCACCAGGTGAAGCATCGTATATTTTCATAGCGCTTCAGATACTACTTCATTTCTTACTCCAGCTTATCCAATTGAGAAGGTAAATTGAACAATACAATTTGCAATTAGCCACTGCTGGACAGAAATATGTCATGAATATGTAAAGCGTTATAATTGTCTTAATTAGTACATTTTAATAACGGGTATTTTCACTCTCATTTTTTAATGCGGCAGGTCATTTAATAATTGCGTGATATCATTTTCTACCTGACTGAGAGCGTGTTAGTATTATGAATGTTGTTTTTGTGCAGGTTAACAGTAAGAGTATAGCTGAGAAGAGTGGTTTGAAGCCTGCGGATGGAATCCTGTCCATAGCTGGAGTACCGACAGATGGCATGACACATGACCAAGCCAAGATGGAGATATTGAGGGCAGGAAACGAACTTGATTTCTATGTCAGAAGGTGAGCCAAACCTTTGGGTTTATGGTATATGCGGGTTTTAAAGGTGCGATAATTGGAATTAGGAACTGCTTCTTGTTTAATGACGGTGGGTCACTAACTTAATGAGTAATACATATTAAACTGCAAGGCAAGGAAACTTTCACCATTGTGTGTTTGCGATAATGATACCAACAAAAAGTGGTTATTCAAGTTAGATGTATTCGATACTTGTGTCAAGGTTGGGTTTTGGACCTTTCATTCGCATTGTTTTGGCAACAGCCTAATAGCGTTTCGGTAACGTTTGTTATTAGTTGGTCAAATCCAATTTTCATGTGTACACTTTCTATTGCCCGCCATTTCTATTAGTTGCAATGATAATTCTGTTTAGCAAGTTATCAGAGTTTACAAGGACACAACTGTTCTGAATTCATATGAGAATATGATAATTATTCGTCTTTCATATATTGTTCATGTGAAAAAACAGATTTCACTCACAAAGCAATCTTTGTGCTACGCCGGGTACCAGGATCGTTTTCTCGGGTTCGAACTAACAATAAACTCACTTCAGTCCACAAATTAGAACTAAGCAGACAGTACACTGATTTCCGGAACGTAGAATATTTGCTTAACTCTTCTAATTATCTCTCAGAAACGCCGTGTCTGTCGCGACAGAAACCATCAGGCGTCAACAAAGCACGGAAGAGCCCAGAGCGGAGATTATCGAGGAACCGTCAGCGTTCGATACTGGATACCAAAACCCAAACGTTCAGTCAAGGTCATTCAAAATCATCCAGGAAGCCCTTAAGTATACAGAGGCTGAAAATATCGGTAAGGACGCTGGGTGTTTATTACGTCTTACGTATACCTCTCGAAATGTTCCCACATTGTTTTGATATTTTGGCTGCTAATAACGATCCAACTGAGATTATTATAGTTACAATTATTAACTTCGTATTCACTTCCATGGGAAATAATAGTGTTTCCCTCGCTCCAAGTAAATTCAAAATAATTTATATTGTCCCATAAATTTGGAAAACATTTTATTATTTTCGTTTTTTCTTAATTTGCCTTAAAACATACTGGAAGGAAACAGTAACCTTGCATCAGTCCATGCTTTCTCATTCTACTTGTGCTTCCCTTGTTAGCTGTCAGTTATTATAATATCTTTAACTTCTTTCTTTGTGTTGTGGACGTGTGAAGTTATTACTGATAGAACATATATGTATCTCTATTATGATTATACACAGCCTAGTCGCTTTGGTATTAATGCAGAACATACGTAAGTTTTGAGTTGCCGTAGTTTTATTGTGACTAAAGAATGTACTTTGCAGTACAAAGCCTGTGTGTCGATATGAAGGACTCAGAGAAACTTAACATTGAGGATCTGCCGCGGATATGACAATCCGTCACACAGTCCCGCCATATCTGAGTCCTACTGATATATACTGTAGTGATGTGCCTGTATAGCTAGTCGGTTAATAACTAAATGTTTTGTAACATTTCTGGAACACAGAATTACCGTGCCACTAATGGGAAGCAATTTCAATCTCATTGAATTAGCTATGCTGAATTCCTATTCTTCGAACGAGCATTAGTCATTTAAAACCAACCGTATGGTAACAAAAACCAGGTGATACATTGTATCATACTGATCTGGTGAAAAGTTTATTTTCTTTCTTTCTTCTTTCTGCTTTCAGTGCAAAACGATAATTTTAATATATGTATTGAACATAATTCTATTTTTAAAAATAGTATTGGTGATTACTATTTATGGTGTCCAAACCAACTGACATTGCTACAGCTGTAATTGGAAAAGACGAGGTAAACGTTTTGTATGGCAATGTTCAAGGGTATTAGAAAAACTTAAATGCCTGTCGTGTTTGCTCCTAGTCACGGTTAACCCATTCCGGAACATGCCAGAAGAAGAATTATTGCCCATGCAAGCTTTTCTCTAGTTCCGGAATACCCTGTTATATCGACACTGAAAAGTATTGAGCAGTTAGTGAGTATAGCAGAGTTCACAGAATGGAACTAACGTATGCAAGTTGCTTACAGATTGTGTTCGCATTTTTTCGAATGAACTCCTGAAATTAAGAACAGATTTTCGATTCGAAAATTGGCTAATTTTCGTGTTTCCAACATGCTTTTTATTCTGTGGTGAGGTGTTTGATTGTTGTGTTAGTTTAATTTGATTTCTGGATACCTGCCGTTCTGATACAGTCGTGACCTTCTTTTTGACTGTACGCGTTAATCGTGTTTGTGTGTTAATAACACCATCAAGAGACTGGCAAGGATGGCTTTTAAATCTATAAAATATTGTTTGGCAGTAGTGTCAGCTCAGTGGGTATTCCGTGACAGAGACTATCACGTTCTCTTACCGTAAAGAACTTTACTCCCTACCGACCCAAAGGTCCTCTATCGCTTTACAGCTTTTGCGTCAAGGACCTGCAAGTTGAAAAAGAATCTCATTTCAGTCTTTGTTCTTGTTTCAACACGCTAATATATTTATTACATTAAAAGTGTCTTACACAGAATACACTCTTCTAACCTCTAAAAGGTCACGAATATGTCGAATCGACAGGCATACTTTTTCAATTAAAAGCAAACGATGCATGATTTCTTAACAATGTGTGTTTGATTGGTGTTTTTAATCCTTACATATATATAACACATGCATGTATAGTGTTTATCGCACGTAAATGATTCCGGGTGTAAAGCAACCTTATACGAGCCTCCATAGAGGTTGACACAACAATATGACAGGGAAGTATTTGCCCCTATATATGCTTTGTTAAAAATGTTGACAGCTTTTAAAATACCTACAAAGCCTAAGGGTATTTCCTTTTTTGAACAGAAGGATTTTAAATCTTCTCCAATTCTCAATAGATATACTGTGAACACCACCCCTGAGATACATATCTGTGGTCTCATTAGCAACGAGTGGGGCAGGTTGTATTGTCCTGATGCAACGTTGGTATACTCCACATAACAAAACAGCTAGTTATGATCAATGATTTTCGGGATATATCTGTGAAATTGTGTGCACAGTCTTCACTACAAAAGCATATCCTCAAAATTTATGATCCCGAACATTGTCCCGTGTTTTTCCTTCATAGAACAAGCATCATTAGAATGGTTCTGCTATCTGGTTCTATTTTGACACGTTTCTTATCGTTGGTGTTTTGTCACACAAAGTCAGGTACGTGTATGCACCCTGCAGTTTACAGCTATGCATACAACACAGACGCACTTTCGTTTGAAGATGGCATGATAGTTATTTCACATGATCAGTATGAGGGAATTATTGGTGAATGTGATCCAAACTCTGTGCATTTGTGTGAGATTTGCAGTGTGTGCAGGTTTGCCAACTAACTTCATCCAATTTCAGTATGCTAATCACTGGCATTGTTCTTAAAGTCATGTATTTTTTGGGGAAGTGTGAATGATTATGGCGTCTAGACAGGAAGCGGTTGTTCCGCCATAATGTCAAAAACAGAGAGGTCATTAAAAACACAAAACAATGACATTACACGCATTGAAACTGGTGTTATCTTAAATTATGGATAGTCGCATATCAAGACATTAAGCAGCGATATGGAAAGAGTTTTGTAGTTCCCTTTGTCAACATTGTCTATGATTTTATATCTCTTCTAACTAATCATAAATATTTTGTTTATATCTGATATCTTTGGAATCAGTATCAGCGCTATGTCGTTTGAAACTACCACCGATAGGTCGACATAAATGGGATGGTTGAGAATTTCGAGTTAACGTGCTTTCAAGAATGTCCTCCACGTGTTAGGGTGTTTTTTTCTATAATAATTCTATTTTATCTCTTTCACAGACAACGACGGGAAGCAACCAGACTTCTTTTACTGTCCAATGTCTTCAGTCAAAAACTGATGCACTCCATTTCATTTGTGAACTGACAAGATGAACTCGTTACCTGTCGGTAGTCAATATCAGACTGACCACTGCCATTACGTTGGATAGTGTTCATCAAGGTTCGGATCATCATAACGAGCTCGAGCATGAGCAACAAATCACCCTTTTTTCGAATATTGTGGAATTTACAACAAGATGCCTCTTCGTCCAGCCTCAAATTTGATGCAGATAATAGATAAATTGATATATTTAGCCATTACAAATTCTATATCCGTAATCATGTTCAGTGGTAGAATTCTTTACGCATGATGCGATGGGTTTTATGAAAAATGTCAGAAACTGATCCAAATTGTTTGTGTGCCAATTACCTTACATTGTTTCCTGGAGTAGGACTGCTTTCAGGACTTGTATATTCAGTAAAGCTATATTGGTAAGAATTCTGACGTGATGTATAGAGTATATTGTTATACCAGCCACAGTTATAAATTGTGTTATATTATCCTATTTATGCATATTAGCTATTTATCAACATGTTGAGCAATTTCCTAGGATACGGATGTACATTTGCAATATTGTAAACATTTACTTGTTATTATGGCCTGGAGATGATTATGTTCTATGCATTACGTGAAAACTACAGTGCACCCATGCATATATCAATGACGTCTCTTGTTGACGGCTTCGGGAGTGTTTTGACCTTGTGTGGATAATTGTATTTACGAAATAAAATGACAAAATAATTTACGACTTTTGAGTATTTATCATTGTGTGAGGAAGTCGAGTTAAGATAAACACTGACTTGATTCTGACATATTATATAACACTAATTCGCGGAGAACATATTTTCATCCTAAAAACAACAGTTGCATGAATCTAGAACATTTTGTGTGTAAGTAGAACATGGATTACCAGGTGTACTTGGAGGCGTTGAGTAAACATCACATTTCCAACAACGCGAAATACACGCATACTTTTGAAATCCATTTGTGGTGCGTTTTGTTGAAATATTGCAAAAGGCCGCTTAAAACGATAAGCTCACGGGGGGTCTCTCGTCCAACGAATACACAATGCCATTTAGAAAGTGGTCAAATGTAACACACGTTATGATTGGGATAACACTTTCTCAGTAAAATACAGATTCTAGTACTTTTATTGGGTTGAGTCCCACAAGTCAAAACATTGATTGCACAACAGTCTGGTTTCCTGCTGACTGGGTTCCGTACTATTGCGCAACTTAGTACAATAACCAGTCAAGAATTTTGAGACCAGATCATTCAACTGGATACATGAATATCAATCAGGATTTTTGATACATCTAACCACTTGTATATTGCAACACTACGCTCCTTCTAATCCTTGCAAACACGTAGTGCAGCGTGCTCTGTCGTACTGCGTGCACTGACAAACAGAAATCTGGAAATCGTGGAAATCTCAAAACGAGGCTCTGACACTAGAACAGTTTGGCGGTCTGGTACGGACTTGATATTATATCAATCACATTGTGCGTTACACAACTACATTGAATAAGCGCACAAACACATAACAGGTGTAACCAGTGAGCCAGATGAATCGTGAATCATTTTACGACCTCATCAAACAGGGGCAGTCTGTGACGTCTTAGTTAAGGTCATGCTGCCTACACCTCGCCATAAAATATAGAAATACGATGCTATTAAAGTTTACAATTAAACTGCACTTGTAAATACCATTTTCTTATGAAACAAGGAATTGGAATTGAGTGTAACCATAGTTGTTTGCGGTGTCTCTTTTCACTTTCACTTCGGATCGGCTGAAAAGTAGGTAATTGTCTGAATAGGTTAATGAGACTCATGTTTCGGTTTGCCGGGATTCGAACCCACACCCTAAAAGTCAGGCACCTAATCGCCAGCACACAAAGTCAGCCGTCTAACCCACTCAGACACCTCAAAATGGAAGTCGGACAACCGGTAGCCTTACCCACGGACTTTGTGTACAAACAAAGAACACCAGCAGCATCCACAAAGACAAGTAGGGTTTTCTGAGCAAACAGCCCCTTCAGTCGACCAGAGCAATTGTCACGGAATACTCAGTTTAACAATCAAGATGTCATATAATTAGTGAATGTTCGTGATGATTACAATGAAACGAACATATTGAAACGGTAGTGGGAGAGCTATTTTTAATTTTCCATGTATTCTTGAAATCAATTGTTCTAAAGTTGATTACACTTATGATGATAATACCTTTAATAGATATCACTCCAAAGCTTTCATATTTAGTCATATATTTATAAACTAGAATTTCCTAAAAAAATATTTATAAAGTAGGATTTCCTATTTTTTTAAATTTTCCATTGTTAGTAAACAAAACACAGGAAATTTTACAAATATTCCTGACACTACATGCTGTAGCCTCATCAAACTATTTATTTGTATGAGGTCATGTTCGCTTAAAAACTTTTTCGTTCATACATGTTCCTTTCTCTTGACTACACCTTGACAGTCGGACCCAATGTTTACATTACCTGCCACGCCTCTTGCCGCTTCGCCGACGTCACGCCCGGACTAAACTTCCCTTCCAACACTCTGGCGTTTGTTTTCACGAGTTCTGTCAAAAGCAAGACCTCGTCTTTAGTCCAAATAGGTTTTCTCTTCTTTATCTCAGACTCCCGACATATTTTTCACCATGTATTACCGCGATATCTCAATGTGTCGTCTGCCGTAAATAGCAAAAGGGAGATCCCAACGAAAGCCATTTTCACACCTTTTTATAAAAGAGTTCCGCCGGAAGTCTAAAAATAACTCGGATTCACCCTAGTGATCACGCGGGTATGCACTACGAAAAAAACTTAGTTTGTCTTTGGAAACTTAGCTAAGTTTCTGACTTAGTAGCTTTATGAATAGCATCTTAAGTCTCAGACTTAGCTACGTCAGTTTTAAAAAACTTAAGTTTGGACTTAGGAAAAATCTTAGTTTCTTTATGAATACCGCCCCAGATCATTCAACTGGATACATGAATATCAATCAGGATTTTTGATACATCTAACCACTTGTATATTGCAACACTACGCTCCTTCTAATCCTTGCAAACACGTAGTGCAGCGTGCTCTGTCGTACAGCGTGCACTGACAAACAGAAATCTGGAAATCGTGGAAATCTCAAAACGAGGCTCTGACACTAGAAAAGTTTGGCGGTCTGGTACGGACTTGATATTATATCAATCACATTGTGCGTTACACAACTACATTGAATAAGCGCACAAACACATAACAGATGTAACCAGTGAGCCAGATGAATCGTGAATCATTTTACGACCTCATCAAACAGGGGCAGTCTGTGACGTCTTAGTTAAGGTCATGCTGCCTACACCTCGCCATAAAATATAGAAATACGATGCTATTAAAGTTTACAATTAAACTGCACTTGTAAATACCATTTTCGTATGAAACAAGGAATTGGAATTGAGTGTAACCATAGTTGTTTGCGGTGTCTCTTTTCACTTTCACACGAGAACATTCGGATCGGCTGAAAAGTAGGTAATTGTCTGAATAGGTTTATGCGACTCATGTTTCGGTTTGCCGGGATTCGAACCCACACCCTAAAAGTCAGGCACCTAATCGCCAGCACACAAAGTCAGCCGTCTAACCCACTCAGCCACCTCAAAATGGAAGTCGGACAACCGGTAGCCTTACCCACGGACTTTGTGTACAAACAAAGAACACCAGCAGCATCCACAAAGTCAAGTAGGGTTTTCTGAGCAAACTGCCCCTTCAGTCGACCAGAGCAATTGTCACGGAATACTCAGTTTAACAATCAAGATGTCATATAATTAGTGAATGTTCGTGATGATTACAATGAAACGAACATATTGAAACGGTAGTGAGAGCCTAGTGCTTCTAGAGCCAACATTTTGGTGATGGTTCCATGTGTGAACGGGAACCTTGTCTCTTCGTCTACCCAGTTGGTGGTAATGTACTGGTAGACCTCCAAAATACTTTTATATATACATCTAACTGTTAATTAAGCACCACCCACTTTTTCAGAAAAGTTCAACATTCAAATCATGAAAAGTGAAATTTCCTGTCTGACTCAATGTAAAGAGGAATGATTTTGCTGAAGGGATGTCCTGCACTATCACTACACAGAAAACGAAGCCGATGATTATCTTTGATACCAATTTATTGGAGTTATGCGAATAAGCGTCAAAACGACCATTTCATTAGGCCTGAAAAGTATCACTGTCCAGTCCATACTGGTATCTGCAATGTCAAACGTTCAACTTAAATATGCTTCTTGTCATCATGGCTATCTCTAGAAACTGTTTAGTCAGTATCGGGAGTATCCACCGCTAACACGAATCACATTTTCAAGACGCCTTCTCATGCTTGAAATGAGACGTCTGATTCTAAGCATCGGGATTCTCTGCCACTCCTCGTGAAGAGCCTGTTGCAGTTCATCCATATTCTGCACAGGAGGATCTCTGGCTCTCACTTGGCGCCCAAGATAATCCCATAAATGCTCTATGGGATTAAGATCCGGGCTTTTGGCTGGCCATGGAATAGTGTCAATAGCATTGTTCCTCAAATGATCGACTACTGCTCTGGCACGATGAGGCGTGGCGTTATCATCCATGAACAGGGGACGACTGGCAAGTGTGTGATTGTCAAAATGGGGTATTAAGATGTCACGTTGATAACATTGTCTGTTTAACGTTCCCGGTACTGTGATTAGGTCCAGCTTGCAGTCGTAGGACACACAACCCCACACCATCACTGAGCCACCGCCAAAGGGGACCGTTGGTTCAATCATTTCTGGGTTATAAGCTTCATTGCGGCGGCGCCAGACACGGCTGCGGCCGTCAGTGACATGCCAAAGGTAACGCCTTTCGTCTGACCAGTGGACTCTGCGCCAGTATCGGAGATTGTGGTTTTGCCTTAACCTGCACCACGCCAGGCGTTCTTGTATGTGTCTGTCAGTGAGAAATGGACGTCTGACTGGTCTACGTGCACGCAATCCTGCAGCTCTTAACCTCTTTCGGGCGGTATTCGTGGACAGTCTGACGCCCACTCGCCATTGTCTACGGAGGTCTTCAGCATGGGTCATTGGATTGCGTCTGGCTAAGCGAATTAAGGCCCTGTGGTCACGAGCACTAGTTTTTCTTGGACGTCCAGGTCTGGGTCGGTCTTTGACGTCTCCAGTTTGCACGTGCTTTCGTACCAGTCGGCTAACAATGGTGTGATTGAGATTCAAATTGATACCAATTTGACGGCATGATAAACCGATTTCATGCATGCCAATGATTCTCCATCGTAGGTTCTCGGATAGCCTACGTCTCGGCATGTTGTATTGGAACAGTACAATAAGATCTGTTGCTTCAACGTTCAAATTTCAGCTACCAAGTATCAAACAACAATACTGTGTTTTCAGTCGAAAGACCCCGTGCATGTGTATCGAGCACGTGCATCTTCTATATTGCGAAGATTATGTCTGCGATACGTGTGATGCACGGGCAATACAGGCATATAGCATACTGTGAAATTTCATTATCCTTACTTGACACTAATTGATAATATTTACTTTTGAATTTGGTGGTGCTTAATTAACGTTTAGCTGTATATATATCACATATGAATCACATGTTTTGTGGAAGATTCCATTACATCAAGAGGTAAACCTGACCCAAATGGTGTCTGCAAAATGGGATGTCCAGAGCCGTTTCCATCAGAAGCTACGCTTCGCAGATGATTTCAGCCACCATAGCTCTAATAGTTAAGGTGACTGTTCAGGGCTTGGATGATGATTCTGTGTGAACTTTAAACAGTGACCTTATCATAGCTTAGATGCACGCTTTAGTGTAAGTTTGTTTGAAATATGATATGTCAGTGTTAGGTAATGATATATTTTTCTAATTGGGAAATAATATTATATTATACTAGCGACTAAAGTGACATTGCTTCATATAAAGTGGCATATAAAACAACGTAACATTTGGCGTAGGTCTGGAGCTGGCCAAGGCAGTACAGCAACGTTATGCTGCCCCCAAAAGTCTGTTCCAACATATGCAACGTGTTGGCTAGAGCCTTCGTGAATCTTATTTGTGACGGTATACTGTCCTAGTTTTGTCTTCTGAACATAGAATGCAGTGTCCACAAAGCAGACGGTGGAGTGGATTTAAAATGGTGCATTCGACGTCGGAGTCGTGTGTTGTATGTTGCTCCACGGTTCTACCACTAATCTCAACGGAGGAAGTGTACGAGCAATTAATGTGTCAGTTTTGTACCGATTCCGAAGATGCACCAACCGAATATGGTTGTCTTGTTGACGTGACGTCACATGTGGTCAACCGGTCCGTGGCACGTTATGCCTTTCGCACTGTTGTGGATAACGTACTAGTATCTGAACAGGAGTTATAGAACTTCGGTTAACTTAAAATGTCTTGCAAATTAGTTTTACGCCAGATTGACCCAAACCCATAAGGCTATCCGGAAAGAAAAGTTCCATAACTAAAGTCTCCTTAGCCATATTCATAAAACATCAAGACCTCGGTTACTTTCGGCAAATCGATTCTACTAGAAGACTTTACTGTACATCAGTGTTTACTCATCATCTATTAAAGCTATTACGGTATTCATTATAACAATACTTATCTTCAGTGCGCATAATGGTTTCGTTTTATTTTGATCCAAGACGCAACGGCAACTATGATCACCAGAAAGGACGATGGCCAACTGATACGAATGATTTGGAAGGTTAGTTTCTCCCTGTTCTGGAACCATCAGGACTGCTCAAAGTAAGAACGGGGCCGTGCTTTTTAATAAACGTTTCCAGCAAAGAAGTCACATTATTGTCGACAGTGTATGCTTCCTGTAAATGCTTTAAAACAGAAACACACAAGACAAAATCAGAAATTCTACCCACACTATAAACTTAAGGAAATTCCTTGATCGACGGGACATATTTTTCTTGAATTCATACAATTATTCCTTTACCCAATACTAGTAGTTAATACTCATGCCAATAATGGTTGTCACCCCTTCAATTCTTGGAGTGGGGGTGTGGAGTTATGAGGTGTGTGTACGGTTGGGGTGGGGAGGGGTGACAACCATTATTGGCATGAGTATATTATTATATTAAATAGCAGAAAATAACAAATGACGTAAGGATCACGGGCATGACATTCACAATCTGTAAATTTCGTTATTATGATTTTTCAGTTGAAATTTGAAAATTCAAATAAGGATATCTCATAGAACCAAGTCTTATTCTTTTGAATTCTTGTACGGAAATCCTTCACTGTAACTCAGGAACTTACTAGGCTGGCGCGGAAGTAACCTGCCCCGCTGATGAGGCAATTACGTTATAATTTGTCTTCAGTTTATAACTAAAAAGAAACCAGATTTGTCCATCACTGGTTTACGAAATACATTTGTGAATCAGTTCAGGGTATGTTAACATGATATATTACACCTCATGGTTTGTGTTCGGCTCTGCCTTATAACGTAAACAATGACACCAATGATCTTGCGGTTGATTTTCGCCTTTTACGAGCGCTTTGATCAATTCATTTTTGCCAGTTTGTTGTTAATCGCTTCATTCAGTAATATACACCAGCTATACTGACTGACTGAGTTTAGTTTTACGCCGCTTTTAGCAATATTCCAGCAATATCACGGTGGGGACACCTGAAATGGGCTTCACACATTATGCCCATGTGGGGAATCGAACCCGGGTCTTCGGCGTGACGATACACCAGCTATATGTAAGGGATGTCTTTAGACATCCATAAGAACGAGCCTGGTCACCCGATCCCCTTAACCGCCTCTTGCTAAAGAGTGTTCTGTAGGCTTGAGTAGGGTGAACGTATGAAGCAACATGACGTTATAAATATAATTCCACACTGTAATTTTACACATCTATCAGGATGTAGTATACATGTACAAGTGTTGGGCCGGATGGTCGATAAACCATTTTTGTTGTGTCAAATGTTAGACAAATTCCAGTAGGGTAGTTGTGAATATATATTTAATTGTTTTGTAACAGATGGAAGTAATTAAACGCAACGCATTCTATATAAACAACTGGGAATTAGTTTTAATTGCTCCCATGGATTGTACCTTGTAATAATGAATGGCAATTTAATTAATGTCGACATATCCCCTGGTTGATGAATGGATGGATATTGACTGATGCAAAGGTGATTTTACACATGTATGAAGCATTGTATATAGAACATTTTAACGGCGTGATTAGTTTACGAAATGCGTGTACTGCTGCTTGACTCGCGTGGATTTTGCTGACGGGCACCTGTTGATAGAGTTATCTACCTTTGGTTACACAGGGGGAGCTTTGACATCATGGCGGCATCTTCGGTATTTATGGTTATGGCCAGCGGTCAGATTGAAACAGCAGAGGTAAATATGTCGTATAATAATATCAACTTATTTTTAACTGTAGAGTAGACAAATGGCTTCAAGTCACATCGAGCATAAGGGACTGCGACGCATAATAACACCGACTGTGTACCGTTGTTATGTGTAAACAAGCCACAGCTTGCTTTGAAGTTTTGTAGCACTGTACTGTAGATCAACGACGATTGGGAAATTAAGAGCGACAACAAAATAAAAATAATATTAACAACGGGGGATAATGATATTAACAATACGTGATTTTCAGGACATGAACAATGTTGGAATGTGTGGTTGACGGGATAGAGACAGGTCTTGACTAATTCTGTTGATATATTACTGATATTTGTTGACAAAATAATTTCTTCATCGTCATTCACTAAGCATGCTAAGTGTTTTTAATCATTACGCCATGGCTTTTGCAGTTTCCCGAGTTTGATGACATCTACTGCAGATATTGTTACACACATGGCCCAGATTGGCTGATTACTACGGTAAGTGTATCGTTGAACAACGGGGAGAGTTCTATAGACTTCTTTGATATACATATATATAATATGAATGACGTTTCAGAGTAGGTACTAACACCCTATCAAGCTACACCAAAACGTTGTTCATATTATGATAAAGAAGTTGTACATCCATAGAACTCTCCTCGTTGTTCATCACACCAACTTCTAAATGCCACTCAAAAAAGTGTATCGTTACTTCACAATCCCACAAAATACATCAATGTATTTAATGAGATTGTGTTCTGTGAATTTTTACAGTGCATGTTTTGCATCCTTTCTTTAATGTATGTCCATGCTTCCACTCACTGAACAAATGCCTAAAGAAGAGTTATTGGGTATAGTTTTATGTCGCTTTTAGCAACAATATTCCAAGCAATATCGTGGCGGTGGACACCAGAAATGGGCTTCACACATTCTATGTGTCAAAACGAAACCTAAATCTAGTCCAAATGTATGAGGAAAAGAGGTAAATAAGTTACTCTTGACTATTATGATGAACTTGTTTTGTTTGCATGTGTTCAAATTTTTAAAGACATCAACATCATCATTGAGTGTTGGTAATCAGCTGAATTTCTAATTTTCTCTGTCACATACTCACTGTACCTGTAAGAATTTTCTCAGCACATGCTTTGTAGGTCAGCATAATATATATTTATGTGATCATTATGTCACGTGATTGGTGGACATTTAAGGCCAAGGTTATCACTTATGAAGTCAGCATACAAACACGGGATGACCCACAACTTGTGATCTAATATGATAGTATATTCACTGAACTTAGAACACCTGACAAGGTTAGGCTTTCAGTCTTGATAATTGGCTGATATTATTTTTGAATGATATTCCTAATGAGGAAGTTGAAAGGCACAAGTATTTGGGTTTTATGCTTCAAAGCAATGTGTAAGTCTTTTATACTTCCTATCTTCGAGGGACGGTGGGGTAGCCTAGTGGTTTAAGCGTTCCCATTTCTGGTGTCCCCCACCGTGATATTGCTGGAATAATGCTAAAAGCGGCGTAAAACTAAAGTCACTCACTCACTCACTATCTTCGAGTCCGCTCGTCATGCCGAAGACCTGAATTTCGATTCCCCACATGGGTACAATGTGTGAAGCCCATTTCTGGTGTCCCCCGCCGTGATATTGCTGGAATATTGCTAAAAGCAGTGTAAAACTGGAGTGTTTTCTATACTGTTAAGAAAGCTTGTAAAACATTCAGATGTATATATTTTAAACAAACATTTAAGAAACAGTGTTACCAATAGCTTGACCCTTCATTAATGACCGGGTGGTGGGATAGCCTAGTGGTTAAAGCGTTCGCTCGTCACACCGAAAACCCCGGGTTCGATTCCCCACATGGGTACAATGTGTGAAGCCCATTTCTGGTGTCCCCCTATTATATCCCCCGCCGTGATATTGCTGGAATATTGCTAAAAGCAGCGTAAAACTATACTCACTCACTCCTATCTTCGACTATTGTTATCACATTTGTACACTTGTCATCGCTTCCCAGTTGCCAAGATCGATGCTCATGCTGTTGATCTCTGGATTGTCTGGTCCAGACTCGATTATTTACAGACCACCGCCATATAGCTGGAATATTGCTGAATGCGGATTAAAACTAAACTCACTCACTCACTCACATTTGTTACGGAAGGTGTTACAGAAATGTTTGTGATGCCAATATTGAAAGCTGTGACTTTGTTTAAATTGTTTATCACCATCTCCACCACCATCACATCTCTTCTCCCCACCTTTCTTGTAAATAACAGTTAATACTTGGACTCTGATTTTGTACATTGCTACCACCACATGTGATCAGTGTTTTTCTTGATAACCTTTTGAATGTTGCTGTTCATTTCTGATTGTAATGTTCCTTGAATTTAACATGGATGGATGGATACTGGAGTTCTTACATAAAATATAATTGTATTGAAATCAGAAACATTTTATAATAAATACTTCAGCTAAACCTTACGTTTAACCATTGTTGAGTTGAAAAAAATTGTCATGATTTATTGTAAACTTGCAATGTTATTTCTGTCAGTTGTTTTCAGTTTCTGTCATTTTAAAAGTGGTTTTATCATGTTTATTATCTTTCTTTGATTGTTGGTAAATGTTCATTTCAGGGCATGGAAGAGGGTATCACACAGATTACAAAGAAGAGTCGAGATGAGAAGCAGATATTTGTGTGGAATTTCCCCCTGGATGTCACTTTCAAAAGCACCAACCCATATGGATGTATGTTGCATGTTGCTTACTTTTTGTTTGAAGTTTTGATACTGTTACTTATCAGATATTTTCTAGGTTTTATGAATACAAAATGGTGCATCCTATACACATACAAATTTACAAATCCTGGGAAATGCAAAAATGTATTGATGTCTTTTTTGACTTGTCAAAAATGTAGATTGTGTGTTACCATGGTAACATATTAGCATGACAAGTGACATTTCTATTTAGGATCAGTGGTTGATTTCCTTGTATTATGTTGAATTCTACATTCCGCCAATGGACCGCCTCCATGGTGTAGTGGTTAGAGCGTCCGCCCAGAGAGCGGAAGGTCGCGGGTTCGATCCCCGACCGTCATACCAAAAAGACGTTAAAATATGGTACTTGTTGGTCCCTGCCTGGCGCTCGGCATTAATGGGTACAACAAGGACTGGTTGACTCGGAGTCAGTATAATGTGTCTGAGTGGGGTATTCATGCTTCACTGCGGCATGGTATCTCAGTGGGCTAGCACTATAAAACCAGCTTAAGTCTGGGCTAGTACAAGCAGCCGCACATACACATACACACACATGCACGTCGTCATATGAGCGAAATATTCTCAAGCTCAACGTAAAACCCAATTTCACCTCACCTCACCTCACATTCTGCCAATGAAATCTCCATCAGTCATGTGCAGTGACAGGACAACGGAAATTCATGGAATCAACTGAACACACCACATGTTGCCAGCCTGGTACCCATGTAATTCTCATAAATATTTGTAGTCCCCATCCAGGTTAGACCCAGGTATTTCCCTGCTTTCAGGTTCCATCTTGATTGTTTTATCTTTAGTTGAATAAGATTTTAAGGCTACTTCAACCAGTAAAATTAACAAGAGTTATCTACCTTCATTTGCTAAACTCATCAACTGGCTGCTTGCTCCATAACTAAATGATTGTTCCATTACGTGTCATTACACATGAATCTCTGCATACACTACTGCCTCTAGGGGATTCCAGGTTAGAGCAACCTTTGCTTGTTGTAGCATAGCTGCTAAATGGAGAAGACAATCAAACACAGTGACTTGATTTGTGGTGTGTCATCGTTTCCTGACTGCATGTATTGATGTTCACAACATCAACCACTGAATTGTATGGTGCAGACTTTTGAATATTACAACTGCCATCATATGGCCAGAATCTTTCAGACTGCATCATTAATCATAAGAACAAACAAAATGTTCCTGAGTAGCAATAGATGAAACTGTGTCAATATCATCATGACTCTAGTCTTATTTCACTTATTTTCAGAGTTTTTACACATGCTTTACCCAAATACTTCACAGTCACAACTGGTGTTTACCAGTTGGATATACTATGATTTTTTTGCAAAAGAAACCTAAGGCCAGACCGATTTTATTTCTTGTTTTACGGATTTTTGTCCCCAGAAAACCTAACTGCATGAAGGAAAAATATCAAAAAAAAATATCACCAGTCAAAGTAATATTCCTTTTGAATACTAAAAGTATTTTACTTTTGGCAATTTATGAAGTGTATATGGGGCAAAAACAACCTAAAACATTTTCTTGAACATTTACATTTTTGGCCAATAAACATATTAAATTTTTGTTTTTTGAGCGGGGAAAATTAATTATTTTTTCTTAATCTTAAAAAAAAAGACCGGCGGATCCGTAAAACAAGAAATAAAATTGGTCTGGCCTAATGGTTAATGCATTCGTTCGTCATGCCGAAGACTTGGCTTCATGTCCCCACAGGGGTACAATGTGTGAAACCCACTTCAGGTGTCCCCAGTTGTAATATGGCTGGAATATTGCTAAGAGTGGCATGAAACTAAACTCACTCACTCACCCTTATGTATATACTCTTGAGCTATTATCTGTATTTGTCTTCAAAGCTACGCCAATGGACAGCAGATCTGTTCAAGGGAGATCAACATTCTAAGATCTGACTATGTTTTAAAATATTTGTCAGGTTGTTTTTTCTTTGAAACAATTGTATAATCATAATTATCATTATGTGGGCTTCCTGATCAAACTACAGACATCAGTTAAGTCAGTCTATTGTTGGAAGAACATGCGAAGCTGCCCGTCATGCAGTAGGTTAAGTCATCTTCAGTTATTTATGTCAGTGTGATATTTGTTCTTAATATCCTATAGAATCCTCATTTATTTCTGTTAAATTTTTCACGGCTGCATAGTTGAGGGGGACATCTTTACCAAAATCTAGTTTTTCTTATACAATACCAGTGTATGAAATAAGGCCCGTCCAACCGCCCCGAGATGGGCTAGATTTCTCATGGACGGTCTAGAATTACAGCTAGCCAGCCTGATGGTCTGGTACATTTTTCGTAGATGTTCCATACATGAGTAAATTCGCCATATCTTGGTGTCTGGTCTGGTTAAATCCATTTTGGGCTGGTAACATTTTGAAGTGACCAGCCCTGATGTCTGGCTGGGTTTCTGGCTTATTTCATACACAGACAATACATATTTTTCGTGTACCTGGGCATACAGTAAAAGTATGTGAGCTGCTAATATGAGCAAATATGTTGACAAAACTTGTCTTCTGGTGAGATGTTTTCTTAAAATATAAACATTAATGTCAGTGAAATGTTTAGGCTCCACATCTGGCTTTTTAACATCAATAAATACCAAGTATGACTAGCCATATTGTATAAAAACTGAAATGTGTAGTGAAAATCTTGCAATGTAAATACAACCAAGCTTGCCCCAGTGGTAACATCGCTTGTTTGAGCACTGTCATTCTGAAATAGCTGGAAACAAATGGTCATTATAACAATGGCTAAAGCAGTTTTGTTGTCTGTTTCAATTTAGGTTTTGGGAAAACTCATCTTAAACAAGAATACTGATTTCCTGCCGCAGGGAGTATTTTCCAATCCATCATTCTGTATTATTGATTGGAGCTAGCCTAGATTTTTTTCATACTTCAGAACTGCAGATAAGCTGGGAATTATGTAAATCACCATAACCCAATTTTGAGTTGCTTCTGTACAAATATGCTTGAAGAAACACTGAGTGAATACTCAGGCTAATGTTTTCAGCTTGTGTACGCATGTCTTTGAGAGCATCTGTTACTGACTGAATGTAGGCACGACATGAACTCTGCTATGTAAGCTGAAGAGGTGAGGCTTAGATCTGCAACATCTTGGCTACAGTTAATAATAATAATAAAGGCATTTGTAATGCGCTGAATTCCGTTCCACGGAGGGGCATGCTCAAAACACTACAATCTGATTATTATCACCACGGATAACCCAAACTTCCTGTGAGGCTCTAGAAGGTTAATAGTCACATGACTTATCCCACCAGGTACCCATTTCCTGCTGGCTGGACAGAGACAATTTTGAACAAACTCACTTGCCTACATACATACATACTAACATTTGTATAGCGCCGATATCCAGCTCAGCTCAGCTGCTCAAAGGCGCTTTGTTTTTTTTCCCTCGTTCACTGGATGTCAATCTCAACGCGGCACATCGTATTGTCAATCTCAACTCCCTGGGAAGCATACAACTCTTGCAGCCACTAGGCACACCGAGTTATTGTGGCATTCCCATCCTTACGAGGTACCCATTCACAGCCTAAGGTGAGACAACATGTTTCACATGTGTTCGTTGTGGGCAGGACCTAGAAACTCTCTGGAGTCAAGCTGCCAAACACGGTCGCCCATCCGCGGAGTGTCTGCACCCCAACGTTGCTTAATTTCAACTGATTTGTGACCTGTGATCTACTCACAGGATCACACACCACCACCAGTTGTATCTGATGTATCAGTGACAAGTTGAAATATAGATCAATAGGTGACGTAAATGATCAAGGTGAGGTGAAATTGGGTTTTACGTCGTGCTTGAGAATATTTCGCTCATATGACGACGTGCATGCGTGTGTATGTGTATGTGCGGCTGCTTGTACTAGCCCAGACTTAAGCTGGTTTTATAGTGCTAGCCCACTGAGATACCATGCCGCAGTGAAGCATGAATACCCCACTCAGACACATTATACTGACTCCGAGCCAACCAGTCCTTATTGTACCCATTAATGCCGAACGCCAGGCAGGGACCAACAAGTACCATATTTTAACGTCTTTTTGGTATGACGCGGTTCGGGATCGAACCCGTGACCTTATGCTCTCCGGGCGGACGCTCTAACCACTACACCACGGAGGCGGTCCAATGATCAAGAATTATAGTGTATGAAAGTACAACTAACCAGTCCTATCAACATTATCTAAAAGTATTCTTTGATTAAATAAAATAGTGAAAAAGGTATGTTTGATGAGCTTTATTTAAATGCACAACTTCTGCAACTATAACCTTTGACATATTGTACTCACATCAAGGGGTCATCCTCGCTGGCTTGGTTGACACATGTCATTGGTTCCCAATTACGCAGATCGATGCTCATGCTGTTGATCTCTGGATTGTCTGGTCCAGACTCGATTATTTACTGACCGCCGCCATATAGCTGGAATATTGCTCAGTGTGGCGTAAAACTAAACTCACTCACTCACTCACTCACTCACTCACTCACTCACTCACTCACTCACTCACTCACTCACTCACTCACTCACTCACTCACTCACTCACTCACTCACTCACTCACTCACTCACTCACTCACTCACTCACTCACTCAAGCGATCGTCACAAATACACATCACAAATAGACTCATCATGGTGTTACTGAAGATATAAAGTCTAGAGATATTATTCATCAAATATTAACCTGTCCATCAGTGTGCAAACTTTTAATTATTTCACGCCTGACTGAAAGTTAACCCGTCTCGTACATTCCTGTTGACTGCTATATATCGACCAGTGTTAAACCATTAATTTAAATCTTAAAAAAAAGAGGCATTTTAGTTTAGAGAGTAGGGATTGGTTCTGGGACGACTCATGAATTGCAATGTATTGGAATAATGGTTTATGTATTGCAATACATTCCACAATATATTGTAATATATCTTTTGTCTGTAAATTGTTAGGAACCTGAATGAAAAGAATAACAACTTCCCCTTCACATCATTGCATCATAGAAGCTGTCTGTCACTTTGTTATTGTTACTGTGGGTTCAATGCATGTGTGATAGACTTATAATTCAGAGAAAACAAACAGTTTTCCTTTCTCGATCACACTGAGTGAGTGAGTGAGTTAGTGTGGTTTTACAGGCATTTCCCTCGAGTCCTGTATTTGAGGGTCCCTGGGACTCATACTCTTAATTTTCAGGGGCCCTGGACTACAAAATGGGGTCCCAGACACTTAAGTATTATTATTAATACTGTTATTGTATTGTGTATCATGATATCACATTGTTACAGTAAATAAATTGCAAATGATACTATAACCCAGCTAGTTGCATATTTTTACTTGATTGGAATTTATGCAAAAATATTTGGACTTTTCCTTCGTCCCTGTGGATGCGCTAATAACTTTCGTTGCGTCCATTGTCAATTTTTATGAGTATAGGGCCCAGGAATTTACGTCCTGTAAATCTAGCAATATTTTAGTTTTAGCAATATTCCAGCAATATCACATCGGGGCACATCAGAAATGGGCTTCATACATTGTACCCATGTGGGGAATCGAACCCGAGTCTTGAGCATTACGAGCGAACACTTTTACCATTAGGCTACCCCACTGCCCTTTCGATCACACAGTTGATCATTTCTGAATTTCAATTCGTCTTGTCACTTTGTGTAAACTTTTCCTACAAGATGAACATGCATTAGTTTATTTATATATATATATATAAGATAATGCATGTTCATCTTGTTGGAAAAGTTTGCATGTATGCATGTACCAATATGTTCCAAATTGTGCTATTGTGCTATGTATTCAGTAGTGTTTTATATTGTTAAAGGTAAACTGTAAAAGGTTAAAGGTAAATTGATGCAGCAATATGTACATTATGATCTAGACGTATATTTGTTGGTATGTTTTTTATAGAAAATGAACATGTCATCTAATATCTTATTTTATTTCAGGGCCACAGCTGGTTATTCATGCCTATGGTTTAGACGTGTTTGGTACAGATGTTGTGCGAGGCTACGGAACCTGCCATGTTCCCATCACACCTGGCAGGTGAAGCTGAATGTGAACTTGAACCTGACATGATTGTAGCACACAAAGATAATGAGTAATCTGTTTATTTTTGTGTGGTGTGCTTCATCTTGGAACTTCTGAACATATTGAGATAAAAGCATTTGTCCATTAGCATGATTAGAATCAGTCCCACTATGTTAGGCAAGGTCATAAATCTTGGATCAACACTTTAGAAGAGGCCACCCACCTGTGTTTGGTTCTCAAGATGTTCAAGAGTCATTCCCTGAGGAGCACCTGTTAATGTTTACCTTACCAGTACCTTCATGATAGGATTAGTCAATGTTCTGTCTAGTAGCACGGGTGGAAATAAGTTTAAAATTGCTAGTGTACTCCGGAACAGTGGCACATGTAAAATCACTTGCCCTGATAATTTTTCCACTATACTGGCCGTTTTCTTGTTGATTTTTTTAAATAAACAACATAATTAACATTGGAAAGTCAACTGGACACCGGTACAGTGTGATATACAAATTTGCTTGCCCGACAGAAAAAACACTGGACTCGGACGTCGAGCAATGGGTTATTTCCACCCCTGAGTAAAAGTGTTACCTGTGATAGAATATATTACCTTAGTGAGAATTGATGAACCTATGTTGCATATCTCATCTTCATGTGAACATGCTTTCTCCAAGTGAGTTTGTACTTTCTATGAGAATATTTTACCCCAGTGAGTGTGTATCTCCATATATGTTATCTCTATGAATTTATGTTATCTCCATGTGAGTATTTTATCTCCAAGTGAGTATGTTATTACCATGTGAGTTTGGGGTTTCTATGAGAGTATTTTACCTCAATGAGTGTATGTTATCTCCATTATGTTATCAATGTGAGTTTATGTCACTTCCATGTGAGTATGTTATCTCCATATGATGTTAAATGTTATGATTTTACCTCTTTGAACATATGTTACCTTCATATGTGTATGTAATCACTACAAGTATGTTATCTTCTTCAATGTATGTTATGTCTGTGAATGTATGTTATCACTATGAGTGTATATCATCTCTGTGAGTGTATGTTATCATCTTGAGTGTATGTTATCACTATGAGTGTATGTCATCTCTGTGAGTGTATGTTATCATCTTATGATCATGTATGTTATCATCTATGAGTGTATGAGTCTCTATGAGTGTATGTCATCTTGAGTGTATGTTATCATCTCTGTATATCATCTCTGTATGAGTGTATGTTATCATCTTGAGTGTATGTTATCACTATGAGTGTATATCATCTCTGTGAGTGTGTTATCACTGTGAGTGTATGTTATCATCTTGAGTGTATGTTATCACTATGAGTGTATATCATCTCTGTGAGTGTATGTTATCATCTTGAGTGTATGTTATCACTATGAGTGTATATCATCTCTGTGAGTGTATGTTATCATCTTGAGTGTATGTTATCACTATGAGTGTATATCATCTCTGTGAGTGTATGTTATCATCTTGAGTGTATGTTATCACTATGAGTGTATATCATCACTATGAGTGTATATCATCTCTGTGAGTGTATGTTATCATCTTGAGTGTATGTTATCATTATGAGTGTATATCATCTCTGTGAGTGTATGTTATCATCTTGAGTGTATGTTATTATGAGTGTATGCTATCTCCCTGAGTGGGATACCAGGCAAATGTAACTGAAGCATTCCAGTGCACAAAAATGATCCAAATATCATTCACCTTTTTCAATTTCTTGAATATGTATCATCATACCCATTACGACGTGAGGGAAGACAACTAAAAAATACCCAACCATCTGCTTATGAATATATTCATGGAGGATGCTGGCTATAGAATACCTGTAAATGTCAATAAAAGCTACAAAAACCTGTTCTACAATCACAAACAATCACTTCTAAAAGCAGACAGGGACCACTTTACGATTCTGGCCAGATCATGAACATGTGTTTAGGAATCACTTTCAAATAGCCATAAATCATTATCAGACTGAGCATAAAATAAAAACAAATGACCACTCAGCTTGTCTATTGCATGTGGGTTATATAAGTTATCACATCGTGTCTCGGGAAATACAGGGTTTTATCAGTCCTGAGTAAGGTTGTATTCCCCAAGCCAGAGACCGGAGCCCGAGGCTCGGGGAATACAACCTTACTCGGGACCGATGAAACCCCATATTTCCCGAGACACAATGTGATAACGCATTTATCTAGCTGAATGTTTTGCTTCAATTTCATTCTCAGTTGTTGTGGCAAAACGTTTCCTTGCTGCCATGTTGACACCAGCTGATCAATTGACCTCAATGCAGTGCACATTACTAAAGGCTTGGTGATGCACACTTTTCTCACTTCGCGTGGTCACCGAGGCTTGGTGGGATAATATGACTTTTGTACTCCCTGTTCGTGGATCGTGACGGGTGTACATGGTATTTTATCAGAGTCACGTGAACCAATCAAAACTCGACATTCTTACATGAGGCTGGATAATATTCTTTATCACATGCACATGATGAAGGTAATGAGAACACCAAATGGACAACCCATCTGATGTAGCCAACTTTAATCTCATGATAGCTATTACATTGTCTTGATTTTACATAGTGTTTTATTTAAAAGATGATTTCTGTGTAATTTAGTTAACTGTGTACTTTGAAACATAACATTGTAGGAATGTGATTTCGAACATTTCTGTATTACCTTGTGGAATATTGTTTGAAGAGAATGCTGGTCATTGATTGTAAAGGGGAATATTTGTCACTTCTACTCATGAATGTTGCATAGAAACTGTTTAATGACATTCAAATTGCCAAATCAATATTCTTTGTTGGATAAAATAATCAGATGCCGATGCCACATTATCAGTTGAAGATATTGTATACTTACTTCTATCATACATGAATATTGTGCCCAGTTTCAAAAACTGAAAAAGCTTTTAGCATATCCAGTCTTAGAAATTCAGTTTAAGACTACTTTAGGGGGCTTGTGTAAACCTCATTTCACCAGTCTTCGGAGGATGCTAGTACTGCTTCAAGAAGAAAACAGTGTTTGCAGTGTTAACATTATCTCTCAATTTGTAGCATTTTGAACTGGTTCAGAATTTTTGCACTCAAATGCTACCAGTCAATGGAAACATCACTGAAATTGTATTTGTACTGAGCATAGTTTGGTAGTATTAAGCAGGTGGACTGGCATGATTCAAAAGGATTGGCATGAATCAAAAGGATTGGCCTTTCTGTCTAAAGAGATGAAAATTACTTTTGAAATATTGAAAAAGGTTTTGTGTGTTGTTTATCTCTGCACTCAGCAACTATAACGCTATATGTATGTAGATAATTAAGTCTGGACCAGACACTCCAGTGAGCAACAGCATAAGAAGTCAGTGAGTCTGACCACCTGATCCTGTTAGTTGCCTCTTACAACAAGCATTGGTCTACAGCAACCCATGCTTGTTGTAAGTGGCAACTTATTAAATAAGGTATTGAAGTAAACCATGTAATGATTCATGTGCGTAACTGAATGATCCATGTGTTCCCTGTGATATTTTTAGCAGACAATTGACAGAATCAGCAGTGAAATACACAATGCCATTTTTTGTGTGCTGGCGATTAGGTGCCTGACTCTGAGGGTGTGGGTTCGAATCCCGCATGGGACTCAACCCAAAAAAGTACTAGAATCTGTACTTACTAAGAAAGTGTAATCCCAAATATAACGTATGTTAGAATCAGCAGTATATCAAAATACACTTTCTTGCTTTTTCCTATTACAATAATTATTGGAAAACATTAAAAATACTTGATTTTATAGATGAATGGATGAGTGAGTGAGTTTAGTTTTACGCCGCTTTAGCTATATTCCAGCAATATCAGAAATGGGCTTCTCACATTGTACCCATGTAGGGAATCGAACCTGGGTCCTCCTTATGAGGGGCGAACACCTGAACCACTAGGCTACCCCACCACCCCTCATAGATTAAGCTTGTTATAACATTAACAAGTTAAATACTGTTGATACAAACCTCAATGATCCTATCACTTTGTATTTATTTAATTGTTGGATCCCTATGTAGAATGAGTACACTGCTTGTGGGTTAGTTTATGGTCTAGGATAAACAAGGCTGAACTATTCTTGTAGTCTTGACAGTATTTAGGAAATCCAGCTCCCAAGTTTACATGTTTACATGATGTTTATCAAACAAAATATTGAAATGACTATGCTCATGGTTTCATGACTCTATGCTCATGGTTTCATAACTTGCTCATGAAAATGACTATGCTCATGGTTTCATAACTATGCTCATGGTTTCATGACTCTATGCTCATGGTTTCATAAGTATGCTCATGGTTTCATAATATCCTCATATGCTCATGGTTTTATGACTCTATGCTCATGGTTTCATGACTCTATGCTCATGGTTTCATAACTCTATGCTCATGGTTTCATGACTATGCTCATGGTTTCATAACTATGCTCATGGTTTCATGACTCTATGCTCATGGTTTCATGACTATGCTCATGGTTTCATAAGTATGCTCATGGTTTCATAACTATCCTCATGGTTTCATGACTCTATGCTCATATTTCATAACTATGCTCATGGTTTCATGACTCTATGCTCATGGTTTCATGACTATATCAGTCACTGGAATGTCTGGTCTAGATTTTTATGATAACTACACAACACCTTCATACAGACTGAATACACCATCTAACAACCTACAAAAGCACATTCACTCATGTGCAAAAGAGTGGCTGACATCTGTTTTCTCCTCTATAATTTACATGCAAGGGACCTTAAACCTGGAAACATATCAATATTTTTATGTCTTATACAAGTTTTATGCCTTGGCTTCACATTTGCATGAATAATGAATATTTAAGTTAAAGATTTGTTTTATGATTGTGACTGAGTAGCCTGTAGTCTGCATCATTTTTTGTCAGCAACCATAATTCTACATCGCTTGGCATCAGGATATGGCAGGTTTCAATGTCTTCGAGTTATCTGCAATGCAAAGATGTCCTAACC